TATACAATCATCCCTTACTAAAAGCCACGTTGTTACAAGTTATCGGACTAAATAATCGATTTTTGAAAGTGATCTATATCGCCGTCGACAAATAATAAAAAAAAAGGAATAAAGAGAATGCGCGGCTTGGAATTAAGGCATCGCCGAATACATTACGCCAGTTGGTACAAGATTCCGACGCGCCTGCTATTCATTTAGCGATAACTGCGGCTAAAGCAATTTTTCTTTCCTCGGTCGATCGGCCGCGAGAGAAACGACGGGCCTTCCTATCGGCAGGAAGTGTTCGACGTGGCTTTTATCGATCGATTCGCCATGTCGATCGGCAGCCAAGGCGCTAATGGGTTAGTCAGCCCGGACACGAACTCGCCGGTCGCTCGGAGCGTGCAACCGGCCGCAGAGGAGAGGACGGAGCGTACGAAAAATGCCCCCATGCTCTACCCATACCTATCCGCGTGCCGTTGCATACCGCGCGTGTATACACGTGCTACACCACGCGCGAGAAGTGTCTCGCTATCTCGGCGGAGACACATAGTCGCGCCTAGGGATAATAAATAGAGATAGACGAAGGTAGATACGGTATGGACCCGAGGAGTTTGCGGTGTGTATCTGTTGCCCACGCGGAGATTATCTCGAGAAGTTATGAGAGTGACCGGGGCTTCCAGTTTAAATAAAGCCGCCCGCTGCCTAGGCACCACATCGGCTCCGCTCTTCATTTTCTTGCGCGTTTAAAACTTGTCCCGTCGATTCTGTGTCACGCGGCGCATACTTGCGTCTCTCCTCCGTCTTTCTCTCTCGCTCTCTGTCGTTTTCTCTTACGGGATATCTAGCCTTCTCGGCCGAGACAGCGACTCTTTGGAGCGCGCTCCGCCCGAACGATATTTCGAATTACAGCGAGCGATTAGTAAGAGCGGAGATATTAGGCAGCGGCACTAAGCACGCTCGTTTGTTTCGCAAGGTTTCATTCGGTCGGTCGATTGTTTCGAGCGCCGACTCCGGTCTTTGGATATGATTTATCGCGACGGCGCGTACTTACGTGACTCGCGCGCTCACAATAAGGCAATTAGGCCCCGATTCTTTATTTAATAGAAACGATGCCAATTGTACGCGCCGCGGCCGAGGTAGTTGGGCGTTTCTCGGCCCGCGTCGCAAAATACGTCTGCCTTCCGACCGACCTGGGAGGAGCCCGGCATTTTTCAGCGTTCGCCGGACAAAGTGCATCCGCGGTAATTTCGACTTTCATCTCTCCTCGCATGAAATCACGACCGAGAAGAATGCCATTCACGCTCTTAATCCCCTTTTGCACGGAAAGCGACTTTTTCCTCCCCTCTGAAACGCTCTTTAGCGCCGTGGGGCAATTAACGCGGAATTAGCCGTGTGTTCGCGCGGTCTTCTTGTTGCACGTTGTACATAAAGTCATTCGGTGCGGCTCTTGCCGAGGACTCGGAACCGCGAACTATGCATATACCGTGAACTTCAGCGGAACGATGACGAGGCGCAAGTATTGATGCAACATCCGTGTGTAATTACATCAATATCTTGCTGGTGAAATATTCAAGGCGACGTACAAGAATAAAAATGTGTGCATTCCTCGCTGCTTCCATTTTATTTCGCCCGCTTTAAATAATTAATTGAAAGTAATTGTATCTCTCTCTCTCTCTCTTTCTCCGCGAGCTCGTGCAAAGTTAACGAGAGCACGGATATTAAATTTAAGCATTGGCTTAACAATAGTCAAGCAGAGAGTATTATTTTCTAACGTTTAATTTCGATCAACGCTGTATATCCGTTTTAACTGACCCGTACTAAAGGTGAGTATTTGTATTTTTGTTTCAGATGCAATGGGTAAGTGGATCTGTCTCTAGCCAAGTCGATGCTATCGGTAAGCGTATCTTCTTTGAGCAATGTAGAGATCTCCTACTCGCGCCCGACTGCGTGCGGATTAATGATCTTAACGAAGCGATTTGTTAGATTAGCGATCCTTGCTCGAGAAAAACTACTTAGATTTCCGTAACTGTTGCTGCAAATTGAAAAAAAGTCGCCGATTGTGGCAATCGCTCGGTTTGCTCGTAATGTTCACGTGCGTGTCGTGAGATTACCGACGCTGACACGAAACATAATTGCATGCACATGTGAACACGTGTGATACGGTCGCGGACATAATTAAAAATGGGTTAATTTATGAAATTCCGGGGCGTTAAGAGGTGAAATTAAAATTGAGCATCGCACGTGAAGCCCGCAAGTGCAAAGAATGCTTTGCAAATTTACATGATTTAATTCCGGTCGCTTTTATTTCGTCATCCGGCGCGCTCGGCGGCATAAATTAGGCGCGGTTAAATTTGAATACGTCGCGAGCACAATATTTGCAGATTGCAGAAAAACGCGGCCCTTCGAACCGGGTATATATAGGGGTGGGGGAACAGCGATCGCTCGATTCGATAATAATCCTCTTAATGGATCTTGTCGGCTGTCGGCGACACGGTCTGAACGACGAGGATCGGTGAGACGATCTTGCGTTACCGATCTGTTACGAGCGCAATGGCCACTCTCTTACATTTCTTCTTAATTCCCCCTTGTGCGTGCGGCGCGCGCCGCAGTAACGAGGCGCTTCGGCTTAATTAGATTAATTAGATTGCAAGCGAGGCGGATCGCACGGATGGTGCTCGACGAGATCGAGCTTTCTGAAGATCTGTCGTTAACCGCATTAACGTCGTTAAACGATACCCTCCTCGTTTTTTTTTCCACAATATTTTCTGAACAAAGTTGCCCGTCTCACTCGAACGTTGCGACGCAGAGGGACGTGTAATGTGAAATTTTATTGAGACCTTTGAAAATGCCAATTTACGTCTTTTCTCAATCAACGTTGCGCGAATTAATTATATCGCACGCGTTACGTGTATTTTACCCTCATTGTACGCTGTACTCACCCCGGTAGTTTTGAAAACTCAGTTATTCACTGCCTGAATGGTAGACCGTGATGGTTCTCTAAGAATAGTTGTCCACATATGTTATTACTTTATATTGCTTTTCGCCACGGCAAACCGAATAACGACATAATAAGACATGGTGGATAAAGGACGCGCGGATAATAACAATCTTGAATAAATTACTCTCATCTTTCTACAGATAGTCTTGAACAACTCGCGCAACTATCATTAATCCTTTAGCTAAGCGCAAAAACTCACACAATCAATCTCTACGGAATGGTAGATATCGTTTCAGTCATCTCATTAGTACTTTAGTGCCATCCAATGAAATCACATTATGTCAATGGCATGTAATTTAGTATTGCCGATTATTCTTTAAACCCTCATAAAGTTTGTGACGTTGGCGAAACATAAACACCGTTGCCAATTTAATTCGAACAATGCAATCGTGTTTATTGAAAAATTAAGAACGTACTTCCGATATTTATCGCGTATACGATGTTATTTACCTATTGTCTAATTCAGTCGACGTTTGACAAATTATCGTTTCAAATGTATACCGAGGAGAAAGCGTTGAAGTCTCATCGTAAGAGAATGCGCTCCACCTCTCGAGCGGCGGTCCGTTCGCCAGCCAGCCGACGGTTATTGAAGAAGTGAAACGAAGAAGGCGCGATGCGCAACGGTTAGGCTCATCCAGTTCGGTCGGACCTTTTCTCGCAGTCGCGAGCAAAAAACTTTCCGATGGCCTCACTTTTTAGTCGTTAATTAGTTGCATTTTTTTACGATCGCGCGCACACGTGCACGGCGAGCCGAAGAAATGGAAGCGCGATCAAGGGAGAAAAATACAGCCGAGGAGGATGAGAAAGAGAGATAGAAGTTAATTTTTTAACTCGCGCAGAGTCGTTCCGCGCGCATAACGTTCGGCGTTTGTTGCTCCTCGGCCTCGCTTTGGTCCTACGCAAAACGAATCTTGCGACGGTACCCCGCGACAAGAGGTGCGCACAAAATATCCGCCACATCGGGCATCGCCGCGACGTTTAAGACGTAATTACTAATCGTGACTTGAAGTATTCATTAACGCTCACGGCGAGGGGCCTTTTATGAACGTGGCACACGGTGGCTAGGTGGATCGTTGCGTGCATTAATCGAACGGTACTCGAACGATCGTCCACAGATATCATGGCTGGACGTCGGAACAACGTCGCGTGTATAATTGGATACTTAATAATAATGTAGATGACTGAAGGGAAAAATGTTAATATGAAAATGGAAGATGATTTAACTCGCTTACGCGGATGTTATCGCACTTCTGTACGTGGCTAACAGTATCAGGACTAATTGCGTCGGAATTCTGACGAGGATAAGAACACTGCTCATTAGGCATATATATATTTTATATATACTCCGCGTTATATGATGTTAGATAAGCGGGCATAAGGAAATTGAAGGAGGAGTATACTAATTTAATACATGCGTCCGCGTTCGACGATTCGCATGAAATTAATTTTGTGCCGACGCGTCGTGTCCGAGGGAAATTAATTTCGTACTGTGCATGCTTATAAAAATACGATTATGAACGGCGTGTATTACAAGCGGCTTAAATTGAGCGCGGCGGTAAATCAAGCACGGATGGGCAGTTAATTAAAAAATTCGGTAGTAGCCGTGAAAGGTTGGAATTAAATTTTAGGGGCAAGAGATGCGATTAACGACGCGTGTTTATACTTATTGGGTACTAAGGCCGATTGGATCTGACGTAACAGTGGCGATTTCGGGGAAGGCCCGGCGATAAGATAAAACGATTTGTGCGTAGACGTTGTCTCTTTGCTCGCCAGCCCTTTGTATCGTTTGTACTTTACTCGTGGGTATGTTTCTTCGCATTTTAAAATAAGTTTAATTAATCTCTCTCTCTCTCTCTCTCTCTCTCTCTCTCTTTCTCTCTGTTTCTCACTGCTATCGTAGTATCTATCTCCTCTTTCCGCTACGAACGTCTGATCGCAATATGCATTAATGAAATAGATATGGTTTCGTGGGAGATCGTCGATATAAAATGTGTCGGTCGCTGTTCGAATTAATTCGGTATAACTAGATTCGTAACGACCGTTGTCAGAATGCCCGCATCCTCGTGTCCATTTCCTGCGATAACGCGTATTAAACGGACGCATCGGAAACACCGTTCGCCTTCGCAAGACCGACGGGACGGATAAGATAAGAGACCCTTATTTTTTCGATTATTGACCGTTCTCGGGCCGTTCCGGGGACTCTTTGGCACCTCGTTTCGTGATGCAGAAGTCTCCTCAGCTGCTATCGCACGATTTCGAACGGAGTCGTAATGGCACGTTTGTCAGATCGTCCGACAATTAGAATGCAAATCCGCGTTCGCTGGCGTATGCATATGCACGAGCTGGTAGCCATTCGCGGCCCGTGAGCCGGGCTCTATCCATCGGATCTCGGGGCCCGCAAAGACCCATTCGTCCCGGGCACTTTTCAGCGCGACCCGCGCTGATCGGGCCCCCGGCTTTAGCACGTCCTCGGCCCCGAAATTCGACGCCTTTTATGGCTCGTTATTCCGCGAATTGACGAGAATAAGAACCCGAGGGCGACCCGATAACACCGGGGATCCATTCGGACGGTCGACGACGTGCTCGAACGCGGATACCAATCTCGATGGTCCTCGTGGCGCTGATTAAAATTAAATGCCACTTTCGCAAGTTTTACAAGTTCACTCGCACGCCGCGCTCGACGTGGCTTTCGTTTTTCTCCTCCGCTTGCCTCCCCCCCCGCCCCTTCGTTCTTAAGAATAGACGCCGCGAAATGCGTCGCGCCGGTGGCTCTTTAAGCACGCGTGATGAACGTCCGCGCGGATCTGCACACGCGACGATAAAAGTCTCACGTTGTTACGGCGGAGTCGTTTCAACTCGGTTTCGACTCGCCCAACGGCGACGGTGGCTCGGGTACAAAACCGTAAATGCCCGCACGTATTCGGAGATAGAATTTCTTACGAGCAGAAATACGACATTTACGCAGTACTACGGTCGGTTTTACGCCATCTCGAAACGGCTACGAGCCGGTTAATGTCGATCGCGGCTATGCGCTGGGATTTCCTTTACATACATATCGCGCCCGATCCCTCAGAATTTACCTCTAACCGCGGAAGGTTCCCTCCCGGACTTTCTCGAGCGGAGCGATCCTCGCGTCGTCCTCGAATTTCCGAAGCTTTCTCTTATCTAACCGGCGAGAATAGATTTCTTTTTTTTGCGCAGTTTGCGCCGAGGCGGCATTTCCTTCCGACTTTGCGAGCTCGTTGCATCGGTTTCACATTTTCACGGCGTGTCTCCTCGAAGTCGGACGATTCCGTAACGTCGCACGGTCTGCGGCCGCCCGACAAATAGATTACGTGCCCGCGAAGGGTATTCCTCGTAGGGTGTCCGACCCTACGCCCTTCTTCGCCTTTTACACATGCCACTCACGTACTCATCCGCGTTCCGGGTACGTCGTATTCGCCGGAGTTGTCGCCCGGCGCCGTTCTTCTCCGTTCCGTCCTCTCTCCTCGGAGCGCTTCTCCAAAAATTGCAGCGCGTTAGCACGAAATCCACTAACCATACCATTATTAAATCTGCGTCCGTATTACATGAATATAGGGGCGCCGCGACGTCACCGGCATTAAAATTCACGTCATGCCGGAACCGTCGAAACGACGCGAGCCTCTCGTCGATATACGCCGGAACGGATTACGCATAATGACTTTATCTGCGTCGTGCAATTAAGCGTGACCGCGTCGCACGTCGATAATGCCTTGTTGATTAGGAAATTAGTTTTTAATTTATTCAATTCGCATATTGCAGTATTGTTGCGCGCCATTCTTGCCCGCGACTAATTGCGTGAGCGGATCCCCCATTATTCTTCAAGCTATTCGCGGAG